TAAATCCCCCATTGTAACCTGGAGTGATACATTTCTCCAAGGTGTTTTGCTTTTATTAGAAAGTGGAATCATACATGACTAGTATGCTTGTTACTTTTGGAGCTGTTGTTGCTTCCAAGCTCTGTGAGAGATTTGTACGTTACTAACTTTACACACACACACACACACACACACACACACACACACACACACACACACACACAAATATCTATCTAGCCATCTGAATCTGTGTTATACTAAAGAAACATGGGTCTTAGCCATGATCTGGAATATTTTAGCCCTCTTCCTTTCTTGGCTCTTACCCACTCCAACAATGCCTTGGTCATGGCATCTCTTTATAGCAACAGAGAAGTAACTAAGACAAATGGCTTCTTGGAATTATTGTTTGTAGAACTCTATGGCATTCCAAATTCACTAGTGTTTTTTAAAATCCCATTCTGTATTTATTAGTGAAGGGAAATGGTCAGTGGTTAGGGGCATTTGTTCTTTCAAAAGACCCAAGTTTGATTCCCAGCACCCATATGTGGCTCACAGCCATTGGTAGTTTCACTTCCAGAGGATCTGATGCCCTTTTCTACTTCTGTGGACAGGCAAAACACTCATACACATAAAATAACTAATTCTACAAAAAATATTCAAGTGGAACCTAGTATACTTATTAATACAAATCACATATTTATATATTTATACATCTTGAATTTATTTGTATGTTTTAAAATATCCATGTTATGGTGTCAAAAACCAGGAACTAACACCGAGATACTACAAAGTAAAAATTTAATAATGGCCAGGCCATATTTTCAGTCTCCCACTGTAGGAGAGTGAAAATGGCCCAGATTAAAGGCAGAGTAGTCTCTTTATACCAAGTGAGCAAGTGATTAAATGTGGAATTTTGCAGTTATTTTTATGATCATGGGAAATGTATATGTTATAGGTTTATGGCCAGACATTTAACATGCCACACAACATCTTATGGTCAGTCAATTCTCAGAACAGTGGAAACAATTTATAATGTGTAATTCACAAGATTATTGAGGAAGAACCAGCCTAACATTGTTAACTAAAAAGAAAATGGAGCCCACTGTGTGTTAACATACATGGTAGGGATATGGTTTTCTATATAAGTACCATTTGGTTGACATATATATTTATTAAGAAGGCAGCAATTTTTTTCCGTTTTCTTTAAAAGTGAATAGTTGATTCCCCATGGCCCAAGGTGAGACTGTGAAGTTGATTTCTGAACATTTCCCTAAATAATGTGATAGCTTTTTTAGACTCCATTACTTACAACATTATTTATAGACCCAGAGATCTGAAAGCCATTCCGTGCTTCTCATACAGGCAAATAGAAACTAAAAGGCAGTGTCCCTTCTTCCTATTTAAAAAGAAAACTGCAGAAACCAGTATGTTCTAGATTGCTTATTCCTCAGAAACCAGGACATCCAGCCAGGCGGTGGTGGACATGCCTTTAATCCCAGCATTCAGAGGCAGAGGCAGGCAGATCTCTTTGAGTTTGAGGCCAGCCGGGGCTACAGAGTGAGTTCCACAACAGCCAGGGCTACACAGAGAAACTCTGTCTCAAAAAACAAACAAGCAAGCAAAAAGAAACCAGTACATTCTGAATTGCTTATTCTCCAGAAACCAGTGTGTTCCAGATTGCATATTCTTCAGAAACTAGTATGTTATAGACTTTGTCCTTTCTTACTGACTGGCATTTGGTGATTGTCAATCTCACACCATCCACCGTTTCAAAGTATTTTATTTTTAATTATAAATACTTAGCTGATAGCTCAGGCTTATTACTAACTAGCTCTTACAACTTAAATTAACCCATATTTCTTATCTAAATTCTAGCATGTGGCTCACAGCTTGTTACCTCATTTTCTACATGTCCTGCTTCCTCTGTGTCTGGCCTGAGACTCCTCAGACTCTGCCCTTCTTCTTCCCAGCATTCTCTCTGCCCTAATAATCCCACCTAGCTATCAGCCAACCAGCTTTTTATTAACAATGAGAGCAACACATTTTTACAGTGTACAGAAGGATTATTTCACAGCATTTTCTCCCTTTTTGTCTAAATAAAAAAGGAAGGTTTTAACTTTAACATAGTAAAATTATGTATGATCAAAACAGTTATCAAGTAGGAACTCAGTTACAATATTCAGTCCATTTGTATTTGGTAAATTTAGAAAAAATATTCTATTATTTATCTTATCTTTGCAAGTCTAAAGTTTTATACCTAATTTACTTTTTATTGTAACTAAGCAAAACTATATGTTGAATTTTTTTAGTCTTTAACTCCAGCTAAGACCCCAGAAGGGTAAAATGTTACCTAACAACAGGAACATCAGGCTGCCTGGACAGTCACCCAAAGTTCTTTGGTAATGTTGGGGTATCCATCTTTGGCCTACATATCTGACGGGCCTAGCATATCTGACAAACTTTTCTGAGAAGCAGGGTATTTTGAAGGATTGTCCTTTGTCTTGGCAAAGTTTTGCAGTTGCTTTCTTTTGTATCCTGTTGGTCCAGTTTAGACAGTATACTGTCAGTAATTGAGGTAAGGGAAATTTCTTTGCCAAAATGGCTAGATTTTGCCATAAAGAAAACAAACTCTGTATGGAGTTTTTTTGATGCCCATTATCTTCTTTGAAGTAAACTGGTGCTGCCAGGAGCAGATGTGTCTCACTGCTATAAAAAGCCTTAGATTGTTAAACATATTAAATGTCATATTCTGTAGGTCTTTGAAGTATTTGAAGACCATATCTATCTATCTATCTATCTATCTATCTATCTATCTATCTATCTATCTATCTATCTAAGAATATCTGTGTAGGACTCTGAAAACATACCTGACATGACTATAAGTTTGACTATTATAGATGACTATTAATCTGTATTTCTTATTTATTTATTTATTTATTTATTTATTTATTTATTTATTTATTTATTTATTTATTTATTTATTTATTTATTATGTATACAGAAGAGGGTGCCAGATCTCATTACAGATGGTTGTAAACCCCATGTGGGTGCTGGGAATTGAACTCAGGACCTCTGGAAGAGCAGTCGGTGCTTTTAACCTCTGAGCCATCTCTCCAGCCCCCTAATCTGTATTTCTTAATTATACATTACATTTTAAAATGAGCACAATACCCTAAACAAGAGTAGACACATACATACAGTATAACAAAAATAACTTTAAATTTGTATCAATAAACTAAAATCCATACCAATATAAAATATATAAGATTAATAGTTGCTTTTTGGATTAAGGTATATTCAATAATCTGACCTTTTATCATTTTTGTATTATATCCGTTTTCTTCCTTTAGAAAGAAATCTTTGAATTTTACTCCTTTGTTTAGCTTTTTTTTTTAAACCATGACCAATAACAACTTGTAACTAACCCCCTTTAAATGATAATAAATTTCTATAATCATCTTTTGGGTGATTTGGAATGTGGGTTTTGCTCTCTAGATTACTTCCTGCTGTTTGTAGGTGCTGGTGTCTTTGGGAGAAACTTAAGAAAATCAGGATAATTGTTAGGTTTTAGCTGGAGTAGTTTACGGGGCTGGATCATCTCAGCTAACAGCCTTGAAGCTGTTTTGGATGCAGAACTCTGAGGAAACTGCAACAGAGGCACTCTAAGAGGCTGGATCACCTGGGCTATCCCTTTTCATTGGTGTTTGGTCCCCTTGTTCTGAAAATACATAAACTTTTAAGGTCACATACATTACATACATTACAAGTATGAAATATGTGGGTGTACAAGTCAGTAAAAGATGATTTGTTTGCTTTATGTTTGAGTTGATAAAATATCTGTTACATGTTTTATAGTTTTTCTAGGTTTATTTGTTTATATCTATAGCCAGGATTTCCAGGGGGTCTTCCTTGATCAAACCTGATCATCTCTAACCTGGAATGAATCCATAGCCTCTCATTTCCTGTGAAAATAAAACCATAACCTCTCCCAAAAAGCAACACACCTTTGACTTCCATTTTGAAGTCAAGACATTTTAAAATATAAAGTTTGGTTTAATCTAGCAGCTTTCATAATCCATTGTCTCGTAGCAGCCAAAAAAAATTTAAAGACAACACAGTAACATACAGGATCTAGACTCTGTGTATTTTCCATCTTTATGTGACTTTTTAAAATATTACTTTACTCCCCTTTTAAGGACTTTACTCCCTTTTCAAGACTTCATTATTTTTAAACTACACACACACACACACACACACACACACACACACACACACACACACACACACACACACACTGTCTATACCCTTTTTCCTTTCTCTCCCAAGCCTTTGTACATTTTTAAACACACTGTAACCCATTTAGAGGTTTTTTCTTCCATCTGGATCTGTCTTTACTGAGCATCTGTAACCTTTTCTGTCTGCATAAGCAAACCCCAAACCTGTCACGCAGCATGCTGGTGGCTCAAGCCCACAGGCAGCAGCTGGCAGGCAACCTTAGATGTTTTCTACAGGGCAAACTACAAGCAACTGTAGCCAGTAGCCAACACTTGTAACTTCAGGTAACTTATTCTGTCCCCCATTCTGTGTGGGAAGAGTACTCTGGGTTACCTTTTTGACACTTTCCCTTGAAACCTATGAGAAATGTAAAAGTGAAAATGTCTAACTGTAAAGTTGTCCCAGGGATGAGGGGGTGTGTGATCCACATCTGGAGGAACTTCCCTCCGTGTGGTTCTTGGTATAGCACGTGGCCCTCCTGGTATGGTTCTCAGTACAGCATGTGGCCCTGCTGGGGGTCCCTGAGTGGTTAGGCTGTGAAGCTCTGCGTCTAGGGCAGTATGGTCCTTTACCTCTGTGTGGGATGCTACCTACCCTGCTGGCTGATCATAGGGCTGGTATGGTCCCTGGGCTACTGTGTCCAGGAGGGGCTGTGCCACTGTCTTGTCACATTTTGGTTATCTTGCTGTCCTCTCACGGGTGTTTGACACCAGAAGCATAAAAACAACATTTCCTTTCTTTTCCAGAAGTGTGTTACAGAGGAGTGTTTCTTTTTTGAACGGCTGGAATCTAATAACTACAACACTTACCGGTCCCGGAAATACTCCAGTTGGTATGTGGCACTGAAGCGGACTGGGCAGTATAAACTCGGATCCAAAACAGGACCTGGGCAGAAGGCCATACTGTTTCTCCCGATGTCTGCTAAGAGCTGATTCACTTTAGAAACTGTTAAGGAGAGAAAAGAATGTATGCAACTAAGTTTGGACACCTGGTTTGATAACTCATTGTATAACAGTAAAACACTTAACCATTACCTCAGTAAAAAAAAACAAGTTTTGGAAAAAATTTAGACTTCCCCCTTTTACAGAGCTTTGGTTGTGACCCAGGGATGACTAGAGCCACAATCTTTTTCATTTATTTTCTTTATTTGAGAAGAGGATTTAAAAGTATGTACATTTACAGATTTCCATCATGAAAATCATGTATGTGAGAAAACTGGCGTCGGGTGTCAGGCGCAGACCATGTCCATCTTTGGGTCCCTCCAGTGTCTGCATTCAGTCTGTTCCCGCTGTGTCTCTGTAACTCTCTGGCAGTTCCCTGTGATAGAGTTTGTAGAACAGGCCTGTGTACACTGCGGGGAATTCCTCCATGCTGAGGTCAATTTTGTCAAACCCTTCCCTGTGTCCATACAGCAATAACCTAGCCACCCTCCTGGTGATGGGGGTGGTATTGTCAATCCTGGCTAGTTTTTCCAGATCCATCCATTCACACTTCAAGCATTCCTGCTGGCAGAAGTTGATAGTGAAGGAACATGGCTGCAGGCGGCAGATCAGGTACATGTCCGATTTCCCGAAGGCTCCAGGGCTCCCATGTTGCTGCCGGATGCTTAGCAGGGACCTGAATTCTGACTTCACACCAGTCTCTTCAAAAACCTCTCGGACTGCTGTGTCGCCTATGTGAAAGAGAGAGAAACAAACAGATTTCATTCCTAGAGATGCCATCAAGGGTTTCAGTTAAAATCTGGAAGTTTAAAAGCGAAACTTTGTCTTCAAGCTGCTTTCTGGATGTTGTGAAAAGCACTTTGTATTTAAGATGCTTTTGAGACGCCGAGGGTCTCTTTGGAGGCTTATTCGTGTGTCATATGTGGGAGCCACATCTTCTTAACCTCTCTTCTGTTCTATTTCCCAAAGGCAAGAACACATTTGCAAACAAAGCTGCAGTTAACATTCTGATAAAATCCTTCACTATTGTCCTGCCCTGAACATTCGTCAAACTGCCTGAGTTTGTGAACACCAGAATGGAGAGAAAGGACCCATCCCTTGTTACAGGAATCTGTAGTGCTGAACGTACTTGAGTGAGCTGTGAAATGACTCTGACTTCTTTGTGATCTCAAGCCCACTGCCCCACAGGGCGAGGTCCTCCCCATGGTTATGCCCCTCTCCCAGCTGCCAGTGGGTCCTAGCCTGATTTGGAAACTGATTTTTCTTGAGAGCAGATTCCGTAGAACTTGGGGTTCATTCTTTCAATTCCAAAATGCAATAGTTGTTTCATCAAACATTTTCATAATGCATATAATTTTATAATGCAACAAGGGTTTTCACATTTTATAAATATTTTTCATAAAATACAAATTTCCATGGCAGGACTTTTATTGCCATTAACATACATTTATGTCCAGTTTTTCTAGACACCCAGGAAGACTGTCTGAATGGACTTGATTAATTCTGATGCTCTATAGCTGTCTGCCTTGACTGCTTTTCTGGTAATCTTTAGAATTGTTATAGATTGTTTATAACGCCTTCTGATGCAACTCTGGATGTTTGCCAAATAGCACATAAGTTTCTCTTGCTAGTAATTCTACTGATAGTGCCTGGGGTATGAGGAGCTATCAAGAGCATATAGTTCCTACGCACTCAAACCATTGACTGTTTTTCCTGCTCCCTGGACACATACCAGCCCCTAAGATATGCTCTTGTTTCTAAGAAACAGTTCTGGAAAGGCTCACAGGAACAGTAACTTGGTCTAAAACGCAAGACATATATCCACCATTCTTTTTCTTTCTTCCTTTCTCTCTCTCTCTCTTTTTTTTTTTTTTTTTGAGACAGAGTTTCTCTGTGTAGCTTTGCTCCTTTCCTGGAACCCTAGAACTCACTCTGTATCCCAGGCTGGCCTCGAAGCCTCGAACTCGCAGAGATCCGCCTGGCTCTGCCTCCTGAGTGCTGGGATTAAAGGTGTGCGCCACCACCGCCCGGCTTCTTTTCCTTTTTTTCCCCACCATTCTTTGTGTACTGACTTCCCTTGACTAAGATTTGTCCATAGGTTAAGCATGGCCAGAAATTACATCTCATAACTGAAGGCACTAAGACAGGGCATACAGCTCACCATGAAGATGCCTGCCTCGGCTTGTGTGAGATGCTGAGTTCAGTTCCTGGCACCACACAATGAGAAGGAGGGAATGGAGGCATCAAAGAACATTCTAGGCTCACAATGTTTCTCTAGTAAGAAAATAGTTTTCATCTAGCATATGACACATTATTAAATTTATTACTAAAAATTGTGGCACTAGTCTTACATGTTTATATAGTGGCCTCTAACTCTTGTTTAAATATATATGTATATATACACATATATACACACATATATATACATATATATTCTTTAAATGCTCTGGAAAATAACTTTGGGGATCCTGCTCAGTTCTTAGCACCACTAATGTGACCAGCTGTTTGTAAATCACAGAAACAGGACAGGGTGAATGAGAGCGTGAGTGTCCTGCTTAGCAGTCACTATAGTACCACGGTGGAGACAGAAGAGACACTGCCTGGGTAGACTGAATAGTTTAACTTGAATCAGTACATCACTGACTAACTGAAACTGAATACAATCCAGTGCTTTTGTTTTTGAGATGTGGGACATACTCCCCTTCCACCTCAAAAGGAAGCCTCTCCCTCAGTTCCGACGTGAATTTAAAATTATCAAGATAAACTGTTGTTTATTTCCAATTATTTAAACAGACTTTAAACTCAGCCGAGATAACAATTACAGTGTGTGAAGAATCTAGCAGCTCATTTTTGCTGCTTGAACGTCAGACTGGACTGCAACAGTAGGACAGTACCGAGGTTCCAAGCTTCTTCTGTCCTGTAGTATGTACTGACAGGGTGTCTTGAGATGGAATAAAAATGATGGGAAACTTTCAGCATGTGCGTTTCTTCGAGCTCCCTCTGGCCCTGCTGAACATCCCTGGCTAGCTGAAACAAGATACAGTTTTCACCCATGGTAATGACATGTTTTAGGAAGGCATTTTGTACCTTTGAACTGTTCAAGACACCTTTAGATTCAAGCCTTAAGGACTTCAATTTGCTCTGCATTTTCCCAACTAAATTTCTTAAAAACATTTGTCATATCAATGTTTCACCTTCCTAGCATTATCAGAGAATAAAAGATTCCAAATGAGTTTCCAAATTAACTAGCATTTATTTATTGGTATTTAATAGCAGGCTAATTAACAGCCAGTGAATGTCGAAATGTTCAGGATGGCAACATTCCAAAAGCGTGTTTCATGCTTTCCTAAAGAAAGGTTTCAAGAATATAATTTCCTGGTGGTCTAAAGACCCTGGCGTTCTCATTAGTCTTTATTTTGTACTGGCTATCAACAGAAACAGGCTGTGGAAGAGCAAGTTCTAAGGCTATGGTGAATGCCAACTGCTGCCTGTTTTAGTCCTGATAGGCTATTTTGATAACCACAGATACTTAAAAAATTAGTACATTTAAAATTATTGAGGCTTAAAGGAAGATTCTGGAATTATACTTAAACCTGAATTTATACATACTTAACTTGAAAATGTGTTTTTTCATTAACATCTAAATCTGTCTGAAATTCTTAGGATCTACTGAAGTTCAAAAGAAAAAAAAAACTCCCTAATTTATTTGAAAAGGCATGTCTCAGGAAGGAAAGGCGCACAGGGTTCAGATGACTTCCCCTCAGTGTGCAGGGTGAGAAGGCTGGACTTGAGTTACCTTGTTCACACACCCTCATATACCACACAGGTAATGAGAGAAGATGAAGATAGTCTTATAGAAAACATGGCCTTTGCTCTCAGTATTTGGCAACCTACAAAATACGGATGTTTTTGACAACATGGTTTGAGTCGCACAGTGTGGCCTGAAACACCAGCCTCCTCAGTACTGGGATAAACAGGATATGTGCCATCATACCAACATCCCTAGAGTACACACTGTCAACAGACTACCCCCCCCCACACACACACCGAGAACTAAGCAGTCAGTGAAACCCTAAAACCAAGGTTTGTTTTACATATCTGAATGTTATCCACATGCTCATGGGTTTTTAGGAGCTGGTCATATAAATACAGACAGGGCATTTGGATCTGTGTAACATTTAAAAAACTCAAGTCTTCATGAACATGAACTCAAATATAAACTAACATAGGAGACCATTCTAATACAGCGACTGGCTAAGGAGAAATGAGAATGTACACCCTAAAGCAAAGGTAATTGAGAAATAATATGAATATCTAATGTATTGTTTATTGATCAGGATGATGTTGAATTTAACCTAATGGTTTAAGGCACAGCATCGTTCTATACTTTGTAGACCAGTGACCAAGTCCTTAGCTTCCTTCCATCCTGTCTCCCTATGAGCTAATGTGGTGGGAGGGGGAGGCATGTTATTTCCCACTTGAGACTTCCTCGTGAGGTATTTTATTATGTTTTGGATTATTCGTAATAAAGAGCTGGCAAAATCTTCAAAAGAGAATCATATCACTATTTCCTTGTAGCTCGCTTTATTATACTTCAAAGTTCATTTAAAATCATTATCCACCCATATGTGACTGTAATATGATCACAAATTCAAAATTTAGTAATTGTAGCCTTATTTGAAAAAATCTTCATAGTGAACTTTACTGATGAAGGTCTCAAGTTGCTCCTTTTCAGATGACCTTAGAGCACCCCTGGAAAGGGTGTGTTAATGCTCCCGTAGGGATGAGTTGTGCTAGAAAACTCATGCTAATGTATATCAGTCCTCCAGAAATCTGCCTGAAATTTTCTGACTTGGTCTGAACCAATTAGAAATTTTAAATTCTTATTCTTAAGCTATAAAGCAGTGAAGGAAACATATTAACTCTCTGAACATTTTCAAGCTTATCAGAAATATATAAATACATACCAATATCTTCTCCAGGCTCTGACAGGCCTCCTGGAAACTTCCACATATTTTTCAACTGCAGTGCAGAGTAAATGAATAGTTGATGTCATGATTCACTCTCTTTCTGTCCTGTTTCTCTCCATCTTCTTCTACCCTAGTCCACCCACAGCTGGTCACAGCAGTAAACACTTATTTTTAGTAATTTTACTCTATTTCTCCCAACTTTCTCACTACTACAGTTTTTTTTTCTCTTTTGAGGGAGATGGTAATTGATGAAGTCCTTTCCTCTTATACTTCAGGAAATAGAAGTGGTGTTATTTAGCTAATGTGATAAAACTTGTATTACTGAACCTTTGGAGGGAAATATCTATTAATTTGTGTACTTTACAGAACTTGGCTGCTAGTTAAATATGAACAAATAGGATCTTACAGATGCTGCTATAAGTAGAGTACAGAATAAATGTAACCACCGAGGTATGCTACTCTAGATTTTTACATGCATTTACTGTATTTTGTCTCTAATCACAGATATTACTCAAGATTTCTGTGTGCTAATAGTTTCATGTAAAATGTTATTGCTTTTTATGAGTAGTGTAAATAAAATTAATTTGGTTTCTTGGCTATCATTTCTTTGTATTTTTCTCATTGATCATTTCTTTCTTTTCTTTTTTTTTTTTTTTGGTGGGAGGATGCTAAGGGGATAAACCTGACCTCTGGAAGAAATAACAATAGAGTGAAATAATTATGAGCTAGCACAAGACAGTTTTCTCATGGCTGACATGATTTGTCTCTTTGTAGAACTCTGCTGTATGTGTTCATCATACTATAAATCTCAAGAATGAAAGTGACCTCATAAACCAGCAGATTTCATACTCTTCATTCATAAAACCTTTATGGACTTTCCACTGTGCATTGTGACCCTTTGACTTCCTGGAAGTATGCTTCTGAGAGCATGCATCACCTCTCAGCTATGTGCACTTGGAGGCCAGTGGCAGGATTTCTGCTTTCCATACACTGTTGATTACTCGGTACAGAATCCAGGCATTCCAGCCTTCTGTGTCCAACTCAGGCTTGACATTAACTTACAAAGCATATTATGCCTTACTTTACTAGCATAGAAATCTACCTCATCTGCAAGGATGCATTGTCTTTTCGGTGACACTTTGATATGGTTCTAGAAGCTTTGTTTCTATGGAAACTGGTAAGATATTGGATGCTACCATCATAAACTCCATTTGTAATATAAAATGATGTAACAGGGCACTTGAGAACTTGGAATTATTATGACATTAGCCTTCCAATACACCATCATTCTGTCATCACAGTAAAGCCTGTCAATAGCTATGATCTGCATCTCAAGCTTAAACTCACATCTGGCTCCCAGGAACCCTCACAGTGGGTCCTAACATGTCTGTCAAATCACATTCCCCACTCTCTAGTCATTACCATTAAATGTATATATTTATGTCCCAATGCAAACATAAAACTTAGGTGCTACATGAGTTTATGTTGATGGTAGAAAGTTTTGTTCAAGTCAGAGATAGGACCTTAATTTAGGCCCTGTAAGTTACTTAGAATAATTTTGGATAGCATTTCTGAGAAATTATGATATTGCAATGAGGAAAATGTTTACTTTTGTCCAGCAACATTAATGAAGGGTCAGAAAGTGTAAAGATAAACACCCTTGCTGGGCTGGCCACTGCTCAGAGGCAGCACTAGCCCCTGCTTGGATTCCCAGCACCATGGAAGTAGAAAAGGCATTCTCCTTCACTTTGACACCAATGCCAAGCATGAAAACATTTGGTTCTTCTCTTAATCTTTGCTGCTTCTAGTAGCCTGGACTCCTCTTGTGGCCTGTCTGTAGCATTGCCAGTCTCTCAGGTCACATCCCACTGCCACCATTCCTGACCACAGTGACGGTTCTGCTTGGTGTCCAGTGTGGCAGCCCCTGGTTGAATGTGTGTGTGCGCGCGCGCGCGTGCGTCACATGGATGAGAACGCTTGCAGAGGTCAAAGAAGGCATCAGATTCCACAAACCGGAGTTAGAGGTGGTTGTGAGCCACACTCTGGTTTGAGTAACAAGTACTTTTAACTGCTGAACCATCTCTCTAGCACCTGGCCTCCCCTCCCCCCCTCTCCCCTCCCTTCCTTCACTGGTAAGAAACTCTCCTAGTCTGAGTTTGAAATGTCACCTCCTCTGCAGCATCTCCGGAAGGTCTATGGCAAAGAGTCCCTTCTACGACTGTCCAGACTGTGCAGGACTGTCGGGTAGCAGGTTTTCAATCTCTGTACTGGGAGCAGAGCTCCTGGCAACCTAAGAATGCTACCTCAACACTGTGTCTTCCCTGTTAAACACCGTCACCTGTAATATTCTACAATCATGAAGTAAGCACGACACTGAGGCTCACACTGGCAGCTTCAGGCCTCCATCACAACCTTATTTAAGTAAGTATCTAAGTGTTCCATAACTGCTTAGAAACAGCTATTAAAGCATCTTCCTATATTCCCTTAGCCATCTCAACATTTCTATGTGTTATTTTTCTCTAGGGAGAATATCTGGAAAACAATCTGTAAGGCAGGAACAACTTACTTTATTTCGATCTTGTACAACCAGCACTTTTCTGGTGCTATCATCAAATACAGCACCTTTTGGGGGGAAAAGAGGATTGCAAAGTATTAATTTCATTCACCTTCATCTCCTCCATAGTCACCTGTGATCATTAGAATCCCACCCATATTTGAAGATCTAGTCCAGATACCTCAGCCAAGAAGACTGTAAAACACCTCTCCACTGAGGAGGGCATTACCCAGTTGACCAGTTTTCTTTCTTTTCTCTTCTCTCCTCCTTCCTTCTCCCCTCCCCTCCCTTCCCCTCCCCTCCCTCCCCTCCCCCTCCCACCCTGAACAGTTTGGAATTCAAAGGGTAGTTACAGCACATGTTAAACCTGTACAAGAATCATCTACATACAATTTTTCTCTCGATTGTCTATGCCTCATCGCACAGATGAGCATCTTTTTTATACTTTAATAACATCTTTAGTGTTCAAACAGTCATGGGTGTTTGCTGCAGTCCATCTGGCTCTCTAAAGAGACGCCGTCTATTGAGAGTTTAGAACAGTTCATTCTCACAGATCTAGAAGCTAAGAAGTCCAGGATCAAAACGCTAATACACGCAGTGTCTTTGAAGGGCTACTTCTCATGGAGAGCATCCCCCACTTAGGCCTCTGCCAGTGGAGCTCCAATGCCTTGTTAAAGCTCTGCCCATAGGACCCAGTCACCCGCACAGGCCTCACCTGTTAACGCCATCACCCTGGGGATTAGGTTTCTAACATGCTACACACATTCATACCTCAGTGCTCCAAGCACTAAAGACACAACTGGACCTCTTGTTCTAATTCTTACTCCTTGAAGCACAGTGCAGGCCTCGGCTTCCTGACAGAGATACCAGCTATCTCAATATCCATCAAGAGCTGTCTGAGGCCAGTTACATTTCCTTACTGTGTGTGCATATATTCTATAGCACGCTCATCCATTTGGAAGGCTTTATTCTGCATGTGCTTAAAGTTCCAATCTAGCACTTTCATTTACTCATTCATCATACACACTGCTCAGTAGACTGAGGACTTTGCTAGACCCAAACCAAATCTTTCTCTAGTATTTAAAGTTTTTTTCCCTATGTTATTTACATGAGTGTTTTGCCTGCATGTATGTCTGTATCATGGGCATGCAGTGCCTAAGGAGGCCAGAGAGGGCAGTGGATCCGCTGGGACTGGAGTTACAGATTGTTGTGAGCTACCATGTGGGTAGCTTTTTAGTAGTTGTTTGGGCAATCTTGGGTAAAAAAACTTAAATAACACTTTAATCATCTGTACTAAATTCCTTAAAATGGGCTGACTTAAACATATCCATATGAGAAGATATTTTCTATATACTTACTCATTCTTTATTGAGTCTTTTTTATGTAACATATGGAAGTCCCTCATGTATTGACTGAGCTCCTGTTATGTATGAGGCATTTGATCAGGAACTGGGGATGCAGAAAACACAGCAAAACTCGCTGTCCTGCGATCATATCCTGCTATGTGTGTGGAGTGGAGACAAATTAAAGGGAAGTTACACAGACTGTCAGGAAGAGGTAAAAAAGAAAGGTCGAGGCAACACGTGTGAAAGGAGCTGTTTGTAACTGAGCGGCTGCAGAGATGTGCAGAGGTGAAGAACATATACTGTCTTTGCAGGGGAGCTGACTTCAGATGCCTCACAACTACTTGTGACTCCAGCTCCCGGGAGCTGATGCCCTTTCCTGGTCTCTAAGTACCTGCACACACACATGATGACACAAACACACACACACACATGCTGATAAATAAAATTTATTTTAAAAATTCAAATGTTAAAAAGTACCTGAAATGAAACGCTGTACTTGGTACTCTGGGGCAGGAAAGGATACCCGTAACTGTGATTAACTCCAGTGAGGGAGGTATCATATGATGTGAGTCTAACTGGACTTTCCATGGGATTAGAACGGCAAGAATCCTGTTTTTAGATTTGAAGGTTTTGTGATTACCGGGCATCTTTTCTTTAATGTGTTCACCAACAGCATAAACTAACACAATGAAAAGATATTAAGCACAATTGGAGCGCCCCCTGCTGGTCGCAGCATAAAGCTGAAGCAACACAAGATTGGGATTAAACAGAAATTCCTTTCTAGCACATTAGGCAGTGTGCGGCTCTTGTGAGGTAGGAGTGACTGAGTTCACACAGACATTAGTGGGAGAGCTGGGCTTATAGCCAGGCTTCATTCCAAATGGGCACTCTTGTGGACAGCACTGTTCCATCCAAGACACAGCAACTGTTCTGTAATTAAAGATGTCAATGCATCTATCCATTCTCTATCCATCCATCCATCCATCCATCCATCCATCCATCCATCCACCCACCCATCATCCATCCATTATCCTTACACCTATCCATAATTCAGCCATCCATCATCCTTACACCCAGCCAGCCAGCCATCTATCCATCATCCATGGTATACTGGGTGCCTCCTTTGTATTTGGCTCTGTATTTAGCTTGAGGAAACAATGGTGAACAAGACACAAAATGTCTGGCTTCAGGGAGTTTGCATATTGTTGAGGAGAGTAAGTAGAGATATGCATATAACTTTGGGTTGCACTGGGTGCTATAAAGAAAAACATCTGGATAAAGAGTCACAGACTGGTGAAATAGGCATGGAGGAGGTCCCTATCTTAGGAAGTTCGGGAGCTTTTCTGAAGTCAGTAAGATGCTTCCCATGCAAACATGGGGAACCGGCTTGAGATCCTTAGCTCCCACTTTAAAAAGCCAGGCACAGTGCATCTGTGGACCCAGTGCTAGGAGGTGGAATATCCCCTTGGCTTGCGACCTCACCAGCCTAGCCAAATCAGTCGCTCTAGGTTATAAAACACAAGGCAGATGGCACTTGAGGAATGGCAGCCAAGGTGGCCTACACACACCTACACACACACACACACACACACACACACACACACATACACACACACACACAATGGCTTTGCATGACTTCCAATGAAGCATCAGCCTATCACCAAATTACTCGGTAGAGTCTACGGAGGTAGAGCCCAGAGAAAGTTTCTGAATGTCTATTTCCTGCCAGGGAAGAAGGCCACAAATAAGCATATTACTGGACATTCCCATCAGCTCCCTTACAACACTTCGATACACAGACCAGCCTAAAGCTGCCTAGGAATTATATGAAAAGGCACAAATTACTAGGGTAATAATTAACCTGCATTGTTTTTTCATTTATTTAAGGATTCCTTACTATTTCAGGTGTGGTTTTTTTCTGGAAACCTAAGAATTTCCTTAACTCTGGTTCACAAAGGATGGTCCCGAGAGCAGCAGCAACAACGGCTGGCACAGAGAAGTTAGTAGGAATCAGACCCTTGGGGATGGAAGTAGCTGCTTATTTTGGCAAGCCCTCTAGGAGGTTTCAATGCCCTCAAACAATGAGAATTTTCTGCTTCTGAAGCTTACTGGGGGAAGGGGGGCGCTCAAGCCTCTACACTAGTTATACTGTTCTATCTTAAACCACTACCATTTGGCACAATAACCATGTAAAGTCTTCAGAAGTAATGGTCAAATAATTGAATGGTTAGTTTGCCTTGCCTCAAGCTTTCCTGTACAACTTTACACATTTAGTGCATATTTAGCACTAGTATGTGTGAAACAACCATGAACTTCCTCAGAATCAAAATAGAGTTCCATGTGTCAATCCTAACAAAACGAACTAAAGCTGGGAGATTATGAAGACAGATGCCTGGTAAATAATAATGATTATAAAGGATTGCTGGACCCCAGCCGGCCGAAGCCAGGTAGGGAACTCCACGAGGACATGCTCAGCCTTTGACTGGTGCCACTACCACCCTTAATGTCTGTGCCCAAGGGTTACTCTTTGAAGTACTTGCTCTAATACTCTCCATTTTATCTTTTAAAACTTCTTCTTGCCTCCTTGAATATGCTTCAAGTTTACTCTGACATATGTCTTCTGATTGCAATACACTTGAATCACCAATAAATAAATAAATAAATAAATAATTACTTTCTGGAGAATGTCACTGTTTATTTGGGGTGACATATGCTTTATTTCCTTATCCCAGTTCAGTGCCACCACTGAGAGGTGAAGTTCAGTCATGTGTGAAGCAGGTTAACTGTGGCCTTTGGGAAGCTTGCTTCTCCACTGGCTCTGTGTGGGTTCCCAAGACAGCCAGCCACAGTCTCCCCGCTCACCGAACCAACATCCACTGACAGGCTAGCAGCTCAGCTGCAAGAAGACATGTCAAGCCGAGAAGAGGTATTTCTGGTCGGAAACTGACCTGCAACCCCGACTTGGTGCGTAGCATATCCCGGCAGTCTGCTGGGTCCGTCTCCCAGCCACAGCGTCAGCGTTGAGGAGTGGGAGTCTGCGTGGTGGAAGCGGAAGCCCAGGGAGGCCGCAGAGGCGATGAAGTGGCTTTGCAGGATGGGGACGTGCAGCCATGCAGCCACCCTTCCTTCTGACCGCCACTGCTGTAGGGCAGCTAGAATGCAGGGGAGGAAGAAGACAACGTGTAAGGCCTTTCTGTGGCATGAGCAGTGGCTGTCTCGGCATTACTATAACCCACCACCGTGCTGCTGTTTATAACCTTGCCTCCTACACACAGGTCCTGCACACAGCAGCTGCTCAGTCACTGGAGAACGGACAAAGGAACCGACTTTCAACAAGTACGGGTTTCGTGCTTTCCTCTTTCCAGTGCTGGGGATCAAAGCCGGGGGCTTGTTATATTCGGTCTGGCACTCCACTACCGAGCCACATCCCCAGCCCATTCTGTTCCTCTCTATGCCCTCAATTTTTTTTTCTTTCTTTTTTGTAACAGGGTTTCTCTGTGTAGCTTTGCACCTTTCCTGGAACTCACTTGGTAGCCCAGGCTGGCCTCGAACTCACAGAGATCCGCCTG